GAATCCCACAACCCCATTCTAATTATAGTACCCTGTTCACCCTGGCCTAAAGGGAAGCCAAAGGAAACCATAATGTTTTGGATATTCCCCCATTTTCAGATATGTTCAAATGACTTGCTACTGACCCGACAAGCCTCTGCCAAATTGCAAAAAACTGCTACCATCCAAGCACACCAACCCACACACCGCAAGGGGGGGCAGTGCGAAGCTACTCCATCCCACTAAGGCCAGTGTGCTTCGTTTGCCCAAAGCATCACGAAACCGGCACAGGGCAGTCGAGGTTTCAACTTTGGGGCTAAAACCAACTTTAGTTTAACTATGAAACTGATGTGTAGAGCGAAAGGCTGAATTAGGCCTGGACTATTCGGGGTCCACCCGGAAGAAAGTGAAGGATCCTTTCTATGGGATGCGACGCCCCCTATGAATCAACCAGGGGTTTGGATCAATCCGTCACTCACCAAGCACGCAGGGCCCTGGGATGGAAGCCGAGAAGGTGGTGGATGAGTTGGGCGCGGCACTTAGCACGGGAGGAACCCCAAAAAGGGGTCCCAGAAGAAGGCTCCGCGTATTGACATGGAAACCCGAAAATATGTATTTGAAGAGGAACTTTCTTTGGGGGGAGCCCATTTGTTGAGGAACCTTCTTTTGAGGACCCCTTTTTTAAGGTTTCATGTTCATTTGCAGGGAGGTGCTGGACTGACCGTGCTCAATGTCCTTCTGCCGTTTCTATGCTCACCATGAACCCTTACTTGGGGATCCAATTCCGATTTCAGGTTTTGGCATTATTGTAGCAAGTGTCGATGAACTTAGTTGTGAGACTGGTGAGAGATCTCGAGGTGCGCAGGAGCTTGATCTCGAAAGGCCCGGATTCGGATCCAGTTGTGGGAAGGAGAGGTTGTCTGCTTCTCTGATACCAGGCTCCCTCCACCTGGTGGAGAATCAGTCAGGAGAGCCTTCAATTCCCACGCCCTGTTGAGACAAGTGGAGCGTGCTTGCTCATAGCATTGAGGGGTTGCGACAGTCTCCTCTTCCCTTGAACCATCCGAAAAGGGCTAACACCAGCAAAACAATTATGGGACCCGAGCCCTGCCCCTTCTCCCAACCGCCTTCCCTTTCCCTTTGAAAAGGCAAACTGGACGCAAACCTACGGGCTTGTTCAGGTCTTCTTTGGAGGGGGACGGGGGATTGGAATCCTATGTTTTGGCAGAACAGGAAACCAACAAGTTTGAGCCTAAGAAAGAAGAGCCAGAGAAGCTTTCTAGAGGTGACTACTTATGAAAGTTCGGGGCATCTTCTGGGTTGTGTTTCAAAGGAAACCAGAAGAACCAGCAAGTTTTAGGATTTTCGGACAAGCCCATATGGTCATATCTTTTGATCGAAGCTATCCAGTGTTGGCGTCCTTTTAAGGTGCAACCAAAGAGGAGTCACGCATGAGGATCCGTTTTCAGACAACCCACCTGCCCAACTTGACTGCTCCTGCCAAGTGTCGCCCCTCACTCGAACTCTGCTTTTTTGCTTTTGCAAATCCAGCCGGCAGTCCAGCATTCCATGTGCAGTGTTGACATGAAAAGACACGCGACTGCACGAAGATGATGTGACACGAGCTGAGCACTGTCATGAAGCAGATTTAAATGTTCATGGGGCTTTGTTGTTCCCCTTGCTATCCGCATAGAAACCAGTAGCGGACTGGCAACAACGATACCCTTGCACGAAACCCTGGCAAAATGCAGAAACTGCCGCAGCAATTGCGCTGGGAGGGTCTGAGCTGCGCGCAGTTTCTGTTTGTTGCTCGGCGTTGGAGGCAACGGTGTCGAAGAAAGATATATCAACACCTGGAGCCCAGGGAACCTTCTAGGTTCAAGTCTTCTTGGGTGTAAGCCCGCTGGGAAAAACCGGCTAGACCAAATAACAAGGATGAGGACAACAGAAGTGTATGTGGTCAAATTGAGCAAGGGATGGACCACGAAAGGTGTGTCCATTCGATTGAACCCTTCAGTTTTGACAGAAGAGAACAGCCGAGCAAAAGGTTCCAACTTGGTTTTGTTGACGTCAAAGCAAGCTGGTTGCGGGTGGGGGAGCTTCGCTTTGTTGGCAGAAACGCCGCTGCTTAGAGCGGACAAACCTTTTAACTGGGCAAAATGAGTAGAACACATCGCCCTTGCAACTTGAATGCAAATAAGTAGGCTATAACCATGGCTATATAGTATGTCAACCAACCCCATACAACCTACCAAGTAGGATGGAGACCCATGATGTTCTGCGTAGGCTATTTCCTAAACGGGCTCCTCTTTTTATCTTTGATGCGCAACCTGCTTAGCAAGCCAGGTATGCATGGCCATCGCTCCATGTCAACTAGCCCCTGTCAACCACTGTGACAATCTACACAGCAGGTTGAACACGCAAGTGGCGCTGGCTCTACTGAAGGACAAGCAACCCTTGCTAAGCCTTCAGGTAGAAGCAAACATTGGGTTTTGGGCCCCCGCTGCTCAGGTGATTTCGG